GTCTTTTGCCAGTTGGGTGACGATGGTGAAAGCATCATGACCAAAAATGATCTAAAGCAGATGCTTTTTAAATATTCCATGCCTATCACACCAAATGAGTTTGAAAAACTCTGGTGCAGGTAAGCAGCTTCATTTTGTTTACATTATATTTCACTTTAATGTGTGTATGAGTTGCTCAATGCATTTAACAGCTGATCCAGAATCAGTATTAGCATGGAATTAACTAAAATACATAAATGGCAAAATTAAAAAAATTCAGATGTCTAATATCTGCTGTAAATAAAACTAAAAAACTCTCCCATAGATATGATGAGGAGGGGAAGGGCTTCCTCACTCAGACAGAGTTTTTAAGAAAGCTTAAAGCCACATCAGATGAAGACAGTCAGTCGGACGCTTTACAGGAACAGCTCACAGAGAGGATGATTTCCACAACACCTGATCTAGAGGTTATGCTACAAAATCTTAGGTGAGAATGGTCTCTCTCAAAATGACAAACGTAATGGTGGATGAAAACACTCTCCTCATACATAGTGTTACATGAATCTATCTGTGTTTGAAGGAAGTGGATCGGGAGTGACTTTGAGAGTGTGAGCGGAAGCCTTGTGGTTCTGGATAAAAACAAAGATGGTTACGTGACTGTGACAGACTTGCTCTCTCTCCTGCACAGAAATGGCTTTCAACTAACAGAAACACAGCTCACATGTCTACTGAACCTGTAACCCTCCATTACAGACATGTTCATTTCAAAATGTGAGAAGTGTTGTCAGCCACTGCTTTATTCTTCTTCTGTTCTCTTGATTTTTCAGCCTTGGCTTTGATGCTTGTCTGAAGGAGCTGCCTTACCTTGATTTCCTAAAACATCTCACTGGACCTCCAGTCTCGAGTGGGACTGCAGTTGACCCTCCTCAAACTATGGGCTCTCCAGAACCAGTGGAGGATGTTGAGGAGCTGAGCCCAGACAGAGCCATACAGAGAGTCAAGGAGCTGATTACTGCTTCCTCAGACACTCTCTACAAGGTACAGACTATTTATAAAATATATTAATACTGTTAAGACATAGGAGCTGTGTGAAAACATTCCTTCTTGATTTAAAGGAATAGTTACCAAACCTGTATGACTTATTTTATTTTTTTAATTAAAAGAAGACATTTTAAAAACTCTTGAAAAGAAAATGGACGTTCCAATTTCACATTCAGTTTTTTTGCAACATATATATATATATATATATTATTCAGTAAATATGCATTAGCCTAAATGTATAAATTATAATGTTGCAGAAGATTTCTGTTGCAATCAAATTGTGTTACTGTGAACTTTCTATTCATCAAAGACTCCTGAAAAAAATGTATTATGGTTTCCACAAAAATATTAACATTGAAATAATAAGAAATGTTTCTTGAGTGCCAAACAGGGTTATGAAAGTCAAATGAACTAAAACCATGAAAAATATTTTTGTTGCTATATATATATATATATACCGTAATATTAAAGTTTAATGTAAAAACCTTAAACATATTTTATTTCAGCTAGTTGTCAAGGCAACATTACTCATTTTCATATAGTTCAACTAAATTGTCTAAAATTACTAAAAACTCAAATAAAAAAATTAAAAATATTAAAAACTATAATAGTATCTAAATGACAATAAAATTTACACCAAATGACACCAAAATTAGCATTTTCTGAATGATCATGTTACACTGAAGAGTGAAGACTGGAGTAATGGTTGCTGAAAAATCAGCTAGAATGAAATAGAAAATAGTTATTTTAAATTGTAATAATATTTCACAATATAACTGTATTTTCGATCAAATAAATGCAGGTTTGATGAGCATAAGAGACTTATTTTAAAAACACTGATAAATCGTACTGATCTCAAACAAAAAATTGCTCCTGTGTTTTGCTTGTCTAGGCCTTCTCTGCATTTGATAAGACTGGAGACGGTATGATACCGCAAACAGAGTTTCGGCAAGTGCTGGACCATTTCTGCATGCGTCTCTCAGATGTACATTTCAGGAGGTTGCTGTCTGATATGAGACTGAGTGAAGGAGAGCAGATTATGGTTGACTGGAAGAATTTCCTCCAAGTCTTCAACCTTCACACTCAAGAGGTCAGAAATTGTTTTATGGTCGAGTTTTTACTTTTTGCACACTATCCGTATCAAATCACCAAAATGTAGAATGGTCTTAGTTGCATATGGTGTATATTAAAATGGCTATTCCTTAAATCTAACAGACAGCAGATGAATGGCTGAAAAAAATCCACAAGATGCGGTTTCCTAATCAGACCCGACCTTTAGTCATCTCTGACATTTTGAGGCGGATACAGGAGGTTGTGTCGGCCCGCATGTACACTATAACAAAGGAGATAGTAGACATTGACTACGCCAATATAAACACAATCACCAAAATGGACTTTAAGACCATTTGTGATCGTCACTTCATGAGGCTTACCGACGACCAGGTAATTTTCAGTACACTCTCAAATACTATAAAGGTTTGAAGTACACTACAAGTGCACATTCAATGCATTTAACAATGCCATAGAAGAACCATTTAGGTTCCCCAAAGGAACTTTTCAGTGAAAAGAAGAACATTTAAAAAAATATTAAGAACCTTTTTTGCAATGGAAAGGTTCTTCATGGAACCATAGCTCCCAATAAAGAACCTTTATTTAAGAGTGTACCACATGAACATCTTTAATAGTTCCTTCAATTGCTTGAAACACAATCAACTCTTTCAGTTTCAAAGCCTGTGGAAAATGCTACCAGTTAATGGCTTTGGAAACCTGAAATATCGAGAGTTCCTGAAAAAGTTCAGTGGAGAACAGAAAGGCCTGGAAAAGGTTGCTAAATCATTACCAGGTTCAGCAAGATCAACACCGGAGAGACCAGCACCCCTCAGACGCCCCAAAACAGCACCTTGCACCTTTACACGCTCTGTGGTACAGTGCATTACTTGCTTCATTTGCTGATATTGGTTGTTTCCTCTCTCCAAGTGTCTTCAGTGTCATTTGTATCTCGCAGCCATCAGTCTCAGAGCGGCTTCAGAGGCCCTCCACGGCGGGCAGAAGGTCCACGCCACTGCTGAACTGTGAGGATGTGGAGATGAAGGTGCGTTCCAGGATCCAGGACTGTTGGAGGCACATCCAGAGGAGATGCAGGCAGGCGGACCCTGACAGAACAGGGGAGATAGATGTGGATATATTCCTAGGTACATGTTTGAGGCCTGATTTATTTCCATTTATCAGTCACAGCACATTTCAACCATGCAATACCCAGTCATAAAAAAAAAAAAAAAAATTTCAATGAATGATTTATTATTGAATTATAATGATTTTATATCAATATAAATAATATAAGATAATTGACTTTAATAAACTAACTTTAATATATGCCTAAAATGTCATAATATACAATTTCATAGTATATATTATATATAATTTGTATAATTATTATACAATTATTATTATTTTAATCAACTGAAAAATCATGGTTAAGTCATGGAATTATTTCATTTTCCTGAATTAAATTTCTATCAGTGAATCCGTCTGAATTATAATGATTTTTATATAATATAGTTTGTATGTATTTTTCAATATAACAATATACAATTATATATATATGAATGAATAAATAAATGCATTTAAAATAATTTTCCTTAATGATTGATTAGCAAATCAATTTTTAAATAATTTTAAATAACATAAAATATATTATATTGGGAATATATCATTTTTATGTATTTTGATTGATATAAAATTATATAATTTTTATTTTCTAATCATATATATATATATATATATATAGTAGGCATACACTTTTTAAATATATTATATATAATTTAATTATAAAAATAATTAATTTATCAAAAAGTGCAGGACCCCTAATAATAATAAATGGCAAAGGACAATGGAAACATTGTCATATATTGTCACAATGTTGTTTGTAAATGGTGAATTTGAACTGATGCTTTGCAGAGATACTCCAGGGCCTCCATATTGAGCTGAGTCCACCTGAGTTTGAGCAGCTGGCTGTCAAATATGACATCAAAAACAGCGGACGTCTCTCTTACCCGGACTTCCTACGGCACTTTGTGCTCATGTTCAGCCCTCAGGTCAACACTTCATCCAACAGACTCAAACTGCAGCTCCCCACGACACCAGTGAGTTCACTGCAATGACAGCACATCTTGAGTGGTTATAGGCCAGTATAGTTCATCCAGCATTTTCTGACTTCCTCCTTTAGATGAATCCCGGTTCACTTAGTGGTCAGTGTGTTGAAGCCATGCTGAGAATCTCCAGGCCTATCCAGCTCGTCTGGAGGCAGATGAGGCAAAAATTCACCTCCTTTGACAAAGAACGCACTGGAAAGATCTCTCTTCAGGACTTTAGAAAGGTACAAGGCACTATTTTGTACTTGAAAAAACGTTTCACTCCACGGCCTGTATTTAATCATGCAACTTTTGGATTATTGTTTTTCAGGTTCTGAGACAGTACAGCGTTAATCTGTCAGAGGAAGAATTCTTTCATTTCACATCTTTTTTTGACCGTAACCTCTCGGGGAGGATTTCATACAATGATTTTCTGCGCATTTTCCTAAAATGAGATCAGTTTCCTTTGTTTATTAGTTTTGAGTGCCATATTGCACTGCTTTAGCTGCACTGATGTCACAAATGTTTTCAAAAAAAAAATAAACTGATTATTGCGATCCTTTATTTCTGTTGTTTTTATTCATATAGAAAGATAAAATAATCATAAAAAATATAATATTTTTAATAAAACATTTATAAATGTTATATTTGATAAAAAAAAATTTAAAGTCCTTAGAAAATAATCATTGCTTTCAAGATCACTAATGTTTTGACAAGAAAATCACTAGCAATGTCCCACATATTGTTTTTCCCTGTGATCCCTGTGATTGCAACACTCTGTTTCGCAATAGTAGAGCATTGCCAGATCAGTGCTTATGATTGACCAATCATTTGGACTTATTATTTATAGCACCTGCACTGCGTAACCTCAGGGATTCATACAGTGCGTTGAAAAACATGCAGGAGTCTGCTAAAGAATGGAATATCTCTTTTGCTGGCTGTGGATTTCTGATGGCTTACTACTGTGGAGTATATAGCTGTTTATTCGAACGGGCCCAGTTTCTTCTTAAGGGGGTGACAAAGATTTGTGGGGCTTCATCTGGTGCTCTGATGGGTGCAGTGATAGCATGCCAAATGTCTCCAGGTAAGTTTCAACAATAATTTGTGGTTTATAAACACCAGAAAGTTGTAAAAGATAAAAAAAAAGTTGTGTGGAAGGTCATGGATTAGACAAATCTTTCACACACACACAAATAATACTGAATAGTAGTTTTAAAATCCAAATATCCAAATCGATAGGTTACTGACGTAACCCCGGTTCTCTGATAACATGAAGTGAGGTATCTCACTATGGCAACGCCTCTGGGCGTGTCCGATCGCGGAAGCACCAATTACACCACGTCTGCCAACTATGGCAGACCAATCGCTGCAGCGATCAGGGAGTCCCGGCTCCCTGTATATAAACGCAGCTACCTGCCGTTTCGTCATTCTCCGCATATCTCTTCTCCGTGCGAAAAGGCAAGGAGGGCAATGTTGTGAGATACCTCACTTCATGTTATCAGAGAACCGGGGTTACGTCAGTAACCTATCGTTCTCTTTCTAACATTCGTTCGGTATCTCACTATGGGATATAGACAACTCCCGTATTGCCGATATGCTGACGAAGCAGACTGAAGAAGAGGGGATATAAATAATACTAAATCATGATCCCAGATGGAAGAAAAACAGAATGATATGGGGACAGGTGCCCCCTTATTGAAACCATTTAAACCTCCTCCTGACTACTTACTCCCAAAACTGAGTGTGCCAGAGAGGGTTCCGTAACATCCAGTCTATAAAAACGGATAAATGTGTGCGGAGAGGACCAGCTGGCCGCCGCGCAAATTTCTTGAATAGAAATACCCTTGAATAGAGCCCAGGATGTAGCCATCCCCCTAGTAGAATACGCTCTTAGCCCTACTGGTGGCTCTATATTCATGCTTTTGTAACATAAACCAATAGCCTCCACCACCCAATGAGAAAGGCGTTGACGGGAAATAGGTTTTCCCTTGTAAGAGTCAGCCCATGAGACAAATAGCTGGTTGCTCTTACGCAATGAGTGGGTTCTCTGTACATAACTGTACAGCGTGCGAACCGGACATAAACAGTGTAACCTCTCCTCTTCTGGAGAAGAAAAAGGAGGAGGATGAAAAGCTGGCAAGTCCACTGCTCTTACGGTATCCGCGTGAACATATACTTTGGGCACGAACGCCGGGTTAGTTCTGAAATAAGCTCTTTGACCACCCGGAGCGAACTTCATACATGAAGGGTGAACTGATAACGCCTGTAGTTCACTCACTCTCTTTGCTGTTGTAAGAGCAAGTAACAGAGCCGTCTTTAAAGCGAGCAGCTTTAAGGCAATGCTATCAATGGGCTCGAACGGGGCTTTTGAGAGCGCGCTCAGGACCACAGACAAATCGGGACCAGCGGGACCAGCGTCTTTGATACTGGGTGTAACCTACGTGCACCTCTCATAAAACGACAGACTAGAGGGTGTTGACCCATGGTAGCTGAATCAATGCCTACATGACATGCCGATATGGCGGACAGATAAACCTTCATCGTGGAAAAAGCTCTGCCTTTATCCAGGAGGTCTTGAAGAAAACACAGCACATCTGAAACAGAGCACAAGAACGGAACAATGTTCTTATCTGCACACCATTCCTCAAAGACCCTCCATTTTAGGTTATATAAAGAACGGGTCGAGGCCGCCCTCGCGTTCTGAATCGTCTCAATAACCCTTGGAGGTAATCCGGCTGCACACAGATTCAACCTCTCACGGGCCAGGCCCAGAGAGCTAACTTCTGAGGGGAGGGATGGAATATTTCTCCCCGTGCTTGTGAGAGGAGATCCCTGCGCGTTGGTAACTGCCAAGGCTGGTCGTAGAGCAGTTGCGCAATCTCCGCAACCCACAGTCTCCCCGGCCAGTACGGCGCGATCAGAATTAACACATGTCCGCGCTCCCGAACCCTCCGTAGTGTCGGCTCGATCAAGCTTAACGGAGGGAACGCGTACAGTAACACGTCTGGCCACTCGTGGGCTAGCGCATCCACACCCAATGGTGCATCGTCGCCGACCAGAGAGAAGAACAGGGGACATTGTGCGTCTTCGCGCGATGCGTAGAGATCTACGGCAGCCTGGCCGAATCTCTGCCACAACATGAGGATCACCTGGGGGTGGAGTCGCCACTCCCCGTACAGGGGATTCCCTCTGGACAATAGATCCGCTCCCCTGTTCATTATCCCCGGGACATGAGTCGCGCGTAAAGACAGGAAGGTCCTGTTGCTCCACATAATCAGTTTCTTCGCTACCAAGTGAAGCGTCTGAGAACTCACTCCTCCCTGCCGATTTATGTAGGCTATCACCGTTGTATTGTCTGTCCTGACCAATACGTGATGATCCTTTAGAAAATGCGTGAAATGTCTCAGAGCTAGAAACACTGTCAGTAGCTCTAGAAAATGTATGTGCTTTTCTCTTAGTGCGGGAGACCAAACTCCTCTCACTGTCCTGCCCTCGAGCACTGCGCCCCAGCCTGTGAGAGATGCATCCGTCGTCACCACTTTTCTCAGTACGATCGGACCCAGAGGGCATCCTGTCCTGAGAAAAGACGGGACTCTCCAATGACAGAGAGCGCTCGTGCATTCTGGTGAGACGCGCACTCTGCGGCTGAGGCGGCTCTCGGGGCGAATGCCCTGTGACGCTGTCCAGTTCTGAAAATCTCTCATACGTAACAGCCCCAGGGGAACCACTGACACAGTTGAGGCCATCAGACCTAGTAGCCGAAGACACAACCTGAAAGAGACTGATCTCCCTCGTTGGAAAAGAGCGAGGCAGCTGTGAAAAGTCTTGATGCGATCCTCTGATAGGAACGCTCGAAACGTCACAGAATTCAACCTGAGACCCAGGTAGACAATTTCCTGAGAAGGAGATAGACAACTCTTCGCTTGGTTTATCTTGAAACCTAATCTCTCCAGATGCGTCACTAGTGTGTGTGTTTCGCTCTCTGCCTGCCGTCGGCACGGCGCGCAGATAAGCAGATCGTCCAGATATGACGAAATTCTGATCCCTGATCTCCTCAACGGAGTCAGGGCTCCTTCTACACATTTGCTGAATACTCGAGGCGCTAAAGCTAGGCCAAAAGGTATTCTCGTGTACTCGTATGCTGTGCCCTGATAGGCGAACCTCAGATATTTCCTGTGCGCAGGAAAAATATCTATGTGAAAATATGCGTCCTGGAGATCCACCGAGGTGAACCAGTCTCCTTGCCGAATATTTTGACACAACGTTCTGGTAGACAGCATTTTGAATTTGTATTTTCTGAGGTGTCTGTTGAGGACCCGTAAATCCAGAATGGGACGGAGACCTCCCCCTCTCTTGGGAATCACAAAATAACGGGAGTAGAAACCCTTGTGGCTCTCTTCCGTTGGAATCACTCTTATAACTCCCTTTTTCATTAAAGAGGCTATTTCTTCCTCTAAAACCAGAGCTGCTTCCCCTTTGGCCACTGAAATTACCACTCCGTTGAACAGAGGAGGTTTTACAGCGAATTGGAGCCTGTATCCCCTCTCTACAGTGGTTAATACCCAGGGATGAACTGCGCATGCGCGCCAGTTCACCGTCTGAGCAGCGAGTGGGCCCTTCCCGTCTTCGCTCACTAGAGGTGCCGCAGCACACTCTAGCGGCAGAGGGGGGGAAGACCGCTCCAGTGACGGAGTTATATTGGTCTTTATTTGTGATTGTTTTATTCTCTTGTGAACTTTTTCTCTTTTTTTCACATTCTGCGCCCTCGGTCTTAGACCTGGATGCGTCAGAGGAAAATTTATTTGTAAACAACTGCTTGTGAACGTTAGACCTTCTTCCCCTGTAACAGACCTCGAAGGTGGAGGGGGAGATGATCTCTTGGGGGGCACTCGCAGAACGGTGGCCACATTCCCGCACACATTGGACTCTGAACTGTCCACACAAACACTTTTCACCTCTGAAAACCTTCTCCTTTTCCCCGCGGGAGGGAGAGAGGAATCGTTCTGAAGAGATGGGACAGAGAAACCCTGGGTGCTGTCTCCCAACCCTTCCTGATGCAGAACTGACGTATCAGGTCGACCGCCTCTTCTTGTTCCCCTGGGGGGCGGGCGATCGGTGTTTTGCTGCTGCGGCCGCGAAAGACTGTTTAGGTCTAACGAAACCGGGTTTTGGTTGTGGGGCCGGCTGTTGTGGTGGGGCAGAGCGGGAAGGCTGATAATCAGGATGCCCTCCTCTACCTGACGGTCTGAAATTCGGCCGGTTCGGGTGATAAGGCCGAGCCGCCGGCTTTCTGGGGAGACAGACCTGGAAAGCTTCTCCCTCCTTCTTTCGCAGGTCACACTGCTGCCGCATCGCCGTTACTGTCGCGCCGAACATGGCTTTTGGATCTATCGGAGCATCCAGAAACTCTGCCTTCTCTTTTTCAGAGAGCCCTGACAAGCCCAGCCACAGCGATCTCTCACCCACTACTGCTAAGCCCATACTCCGTCCGCCACTTTGAACTGCTCCGCGGGACGTGCGCAGGTTCAAATCTGCGATGACGCATATCTCCTCCCAGAGCACTGGGTTCGGAGATCCGGAATCCAGTTGACGACCCATCTCCTCTAAAAGCTCCGCTTGATAGGCTGTAAGGAGGGACGTCGCGTTCAAAGCCCGGACGGACAGTGCAGTCGATTTATAGATCTTCTGAAAAACAGAGGCGGCGAAGCGCTCTGTTTTCCCTGGCAGCGACGCACCGGTTGAAGAGAGCGCCGCCCTGCGGCCCGGGTGCAAATGATTTGCCACTGAAGTTTCCACCGGGGGAGGATCCGCCATCCCTAGATCCTCCATTCCCTGAACATCCAGCCTCGAGAAACCCTTGACGGGCACTCGATGAGAAAAAGGCTTGTCCCAAAACTTCTTCATCTCCGTCACACAGGCCGGAACGGCCGGAATGAACTGCCTTGCTGGCGGGAGACGTGACGGAAGTCTCTTTCCATCGTACAGGTCTCTTTCAGCCCCTTGACCTGTCTGTTGGGATGGCCAGTCGATCGATAATCTAGCCGCGGCCCTGCGACAGACCTCGATTAGATCCGAATCCGTCTGTACAGGGGAGGGTGAACTCTCATCCTGTGCACTCGGCGGCCTAGACTGGTTCGGGGGAAGAATGGCATCTTCGTCGTCGTCGTCCTCGTCCTCGAGGATGTTCGACAACACTTCATCATCGTCATCTTCCTCACCCGCTAACGGATCATCGAACAGCGGGGGAAGGACGGGAGAAACCTTCTCCATCATCTCTGCCCATGAGGTGGTGGTCCGGGGACAATCCATGGGTTCCTCTCTGGGTTGAGCAGAGAGGCATGGGTCCGATTTTCCACCGACTGCCACGCGGAGCCTTCTTTCTCGGGTCTTAATCGAGAACGTAGCGCAGTGCGGGCATCCCTCGGGGTTGGACAGCGCTGCCTGCGCGTGTTTAGCGCCCAGACAGGAAATGCAGAGGCCGTGTGCATCCTTAGCAGAAATCCACATTCCACAGGCACACGGATGTGGAGGGCGACCTTTCCCTCCGGGGCTCTCCGGTTCTATCGCGGTGGCCATGATGGGGCTAGCACTCTCTTTGTACGGTGAGTTCTCACCCAACGTGACAACTGGTACGGAGCTGTGCTGCGATTAGAGAGCTGTCGTTTTCCTTGTCCTTTTGGTGCGTGGTAAGCGCCCAGAAAAACTTGGAAAAAGATAGAGAACTTAAGAGCAAGAAAACTCGTCTTGACACGTTAGTTATCGTACTCTTAAGTGACGAAGTCACTCAACGACCTAAGGAAATTATAGCGTTTGGGACGTTACCTGTCGGCTCCGTCTGAAAACTGTTAAGCAAAATAATTCCCAAAGTCTGCTGAGGACAGCTTCCAAAATCTTCCACGGGGAAGAGAGCGAGAATGACGAAACGGCAGGTAGCTGCGTTTATATACAGGGAGCCGGGACTCCCTGATCGCTGCAGCGATTGGTCTGCCAAAGTTGGCAGACGTGGTGTAATTGGTGCTTCCGCGATCGGACACGCCCAGAGGCGTTCCCATAGTGAGATACCGAACGAATGTTAGAAAGAGAACATAAAAGATAGAACCACACCCCCATGTAATACATTTTGATTACTTTTATATTGATTCGAATTCGTGGTCATAAAGGATATTCCATTTTGAAGCCAAATGCTCTGAAAATCTGCTGGAAATGTCCCGAGAGGCTCGGAAAGGCACTCTGGGTGCTGTGCATCCCTCCTTCAACCTACTGAAGATAGTACGAAACTTCTTAAGCAGAGACCTGCCCGATGACGCCCACCTACTCGCCAATGGACGGCTATATGTGTCACTCACTCGAGTGTCAGATGGGACAAATGTGTTGGTGTCTGAGTTTGACAGTAAAGAAGATCTCATTCAGGTGAACTCAACTACGTTGTTGTCAATGGCTTTTGTTTCCTGATGAATAGATAAGTATTCATGAGGATTGATGATTTACAATTTGCTCCCTGTCTGCAGGCTCTGATTTGTAGCTGCTTTTATCCACTGTATTGTGGTGTGATGCCTCCAAGCTATCATGGAATAGTACGTAGCCAAACACAGACTTTTGACTGTAATTTTGTGATAAAATTGCTTGCAGTTTTTCAATTAAAGGTGTACTCACTCATTTGTACACTTTATTAGTACATTTTATTAGTTTTAATGTTTTGCTGGCCTTATTATCTTGATATTATACTGACACCTAGCGGTGTGAATGCAGTATCTCGCATTAGAAAATGTACCCATAGTTATGGTAATATAAAACGAGCTACCGGTATTAACAGTAAACCTTTTATTCGATGAGCGAAAGTGTCTGATAACTATCTGCATAAAAAAAATAAAAAAGTAATTGCGATTTTTACGTGATATAAACTCGCAATTCTGAGAAATAAAGTCAGTCTAAGTCTTTTTTCCCCTCAGAATTTGACTTTATAACTCACAATTGCAAATTTAGTCTATATATCTCACAATTCGAATAAAAGGTCAGAATTTCGAGATGTAAACTCCCAATTGTGAGATGAAAAGTTGCAATTATCTTTAATATTTTTTTATTCTGTGGCAGAAACAAGCTTCCATGTACAGTATAACAGGCGAGTTGCTGAGATAAAATATAATTGTTCTCTAAGGGAACGAGACACTGCGTCCTAGGATGTTAATGGGGAATGCCTCCAGACTTCTTGTCTGAAGGAGTACCTCTTTTCAATTATATACATTTTATCCATCCCCCCCCCCCCAATCTTATCTGCTTTCAGAGGTATGTAGACGGAGCATTGAGTGATAACATGCCTTTCTCTAGTCTGAGAGAAACAATCACAATCTCCCCTTTTTCTGGAGAGAGCGACATCAGTCCTTACGGCAACCCTTTTTACTTCCATGAAATATACTACAATAACGTCAGCATTCATATCAACTTCATCAATGCACACAGAGTGGTTATTGCATTTTTCCCTCCAGAACCAGAGGTACATTTTTGAATTTATGTTTAATTATCTTGGTACATTTTCAAATCCATACCACGCCCACATACCCTTTTGGTATTTCATAAGGTCTTGGCTGAGATGTGTCAAAATGGATACAGGGATGCTTTCATTTTTTTACAACAATATAGTGAGTAGATTACACTCTTCCTGAGATGATATTTAGGGTAATTGTGTGGCTGTTTAGATCCAATTTTGTTTTGCTTACCAGAACTCCTGAAGCTTAGGTCGCCATTGTCAGAATTATGGGATCATATTCCAACATCTAAGAAATATATCTGTGAAAACAAGCCAACAGTGACTGGGAATTCTAAAAGTTTCCTTCCAGAATCCATCAAGAAAGGTAAGACAACAAATAACTGACATCTGACACCATGAACTCATAAATCTGGAAAATTATACATGGAGAAATTGATGTATTTTTCACCCCATTTAGTGTTTTGCAAGTCTAGAATGATGGAGAATGAAGAAATACGATGTCCTTTCTCAGTGAAACTGGTTTCTTGTCTAATGTGGTGTATTCTGCCAGTGGAGATGGTGCACATCATGCTTCTAAGGTAAATGTCAAAAACGAGTAAAATTAAATATTCAAGTCTTTTAATTTTATTCTAAGACTCTGACTGAAATTTAGGCTTGCTGAGTGGACTCCAGAGATGTGTAAGATGACAATTGGAATGATTGGACGAATATGGAAGAGAGCTTTCTTAAGAAGGTTTGAAAGATATTACATATACAAATAATTAAAATATTAAGTGGATCTAAATAAGAATTTTCTGCCTTCAGGTATTTACATTCACAGAAATGTCCAACTCTTCAAGACCCCTCATCTTCAAACCGAACTCACTGACCTGCACGAATGACTATTTACAATTATTTCAAAAAAAAAAAAAAAAATCAATACCCTTTTGAATGATTTTAATGCCTATTACAGATCATTTACAATGTTGATAGACTTACACTTTTTCTAGCAGTTTACAAGCTCTTCTCACTAATATATTGTATATAATACTGAATACTAATATTCGAGAAATAAACGCGCACAAGTAGAAATCAGGATAATTGTATTTTAATGAAAAAAAAAAAAGATAATGATGTTTACAGGAGTCAAAAATAGCACCAATAAGAGCATGTGGATTATTCCATAAATTATAGCATGCTCAAGATTAGTTCAGCCATCTTCATTAGTATTAATGGTCACACTGTATTCTATTTTACAGTATTGAAGGCGGAGAGGTGACTGTGCATTTTTAAAACAGTGATGTTGAAGCTTCCTCATAAGGAAAACATTTAAAGACATTTACAATCATCAATAATTTATCTTGCAGTGGCATACAAGTTCTTAAAACCATCATGGTTGCATCCGGGCAACATGTAAAAAGACCTCATTTGTCACGTGATGATAGTAACAAAACATTGTTTAAATGTTATCCTTATAGATTTAGCAGTATGATCTTTAAAATTGACACTTTAAAAAAAATTGGGTAGTTAAAACTTAAAATATTACTACAGAAACAGACAACAATACGTCCCATCTAAAATATCAAATAAGAATAGAGAATGCTCCTTATGAAAAAATCAAGTATCAGTCCCTGATATCACATAATGCAATAAACCAGTGCTCAGAACCTCGTACACTACACTACTGAAAGTAACATCAATGACTCTAAACCATTAAATGTAAAAGATGAGTAAATATTCCAATTCCATAGAAATGCTAATTCCTAAAAGGTCTAATTGAAATTCATTGCAAAAACTGTTCTCTTCTTTACTAAAGAGGCATTCGAGATCCCAAAGGCCCCCAATTGAAGTTCAGAGGTACAGTTTCTTTAAAAGCGTAGCAGCCATTGGATTCTCCTTGTGCAAGTTGGGCCACCTTGTATGATACTGTGATTCCTCAAATCGTTCCTGAAATTATATTGTAACAGTCGTCACAGCAGCGCACAGGAGAAAGACACCAGCGCACTTTAAGACTCCTGTGTTTGATTCTGAGAAGATAGGAGGCACAGCATCTCTGGAAGAACACAGGAACTCCTCCGACAGGCTTCGTCTGAAGTCCCTCGCCATGGTCTGTCCTCATACACCCCAGGTTTGGGCTTGAGAGGAGCTGCCGATGTCAGGGATCTGATCGGCGAAAGACTGCGTCATCCACTGACCGTCCTGAACTTGGCTAACAGCGTTTGGATTCGTTGGCGCCTTCTCGGCTGTGTTGGCTGGAGGTTTGAACAGAAATCGATATTGAAGGTGCAGTAAGCATGATTTTTTTATGTTAAAATACATTCTCTTAAAGGGTAATGAAACCACAAAACACATTTTTTGAAAACACTAAAAGCACTCATTAATTTGATCAATAAGTGGATATTGGTTATTTTTGCGTTTATCAGAGCAATTTCGTTCTTCCGGATTGAAAAAGCATAGCTGAAGCAATTTGACGGAATCTGAGCAATGGGGTTTTGTAAGAAAAATATCCATATTTTCAACTTTATAAACTATAATCAACTGATGAAAGCGGAAGTGCTGAGGATATAACAAAACAAAAAAGCTGGTCACAAATTAGAGGTCTATATATAAGTCCGATACAAGAGAAGAGAAGCTACGTCCTATGTCGGGTCGGTCAGGTCAGAGGTCACCCCTCCGCCGAAATTAGACTCTCGTGAACGCACGTACGCCCATTGCCGGAAGCCAGTGATTATAGTTTGGGAAAAGATATTCAGTTTTGGGTAAAGGACCTTCAAAGAATAAACAGGTCATGAAGAAAAAGTGAACGGGGCGTTGTGATGCCATGCGCTACAATGGACACTTCAATAACATATAGCATCATCATGCACCCGTTCAGAAAGACAAAAGTTCCCGTTTATATTGTTTATTTTGATGTGTCCAGTGTAGACAGCCTCAAAACAGTTGTGGGTGTCAAAAAAATGCACCCGGTGAACATTCGTTGGATGGGTTTATTATAAGCGAGACGCTCACGTTCGCTATAGACAGAGGCTGCATCCAAAATGGCATACTTTCCTACTATATATCAGGCGAAAAACAGTATGTGACAAAAGTAGTATGTCCGAATGAAAGACAAAAATGGTTAAAAAAAAAAATCTTCTTTTGTTTTCCGCAGAAGAAAGATGATACCAACCTGTCTCCTCCGATGTGGAGAAGTTACACAATCCATTGCTTTGGCCCCCTTCAGGTGCTGACTCTCCATAAGCTCCTCCGAAAGCAGCCTCATAACCAGGATCATACTGCTCTTCCTTGACGGCAATCCTCTTGGCGTCCTCTGCAAGAGAGAGGGAAGTGGTTAAATACAGTCCATAAGTGTATGTACATCACTTATAATATGATTAAGAAAAGAAGAGCAATCATAAAAGTTCTGTATGCACCTTTGGCCAGGCCGAGGTCAAAGGTATATTTGACTTCCTCGACCTCATTGCTCTTGGTCACACCCTTCAGCTCATCTCGGAGCTCTCGGAGCTTGATGTAAAAATGCACTTTGTCCTGAGCACGAGGAAACTGAGCACAGCGGGCGCTGGAGGACGGCATTAGGTACAACGCCTACGGAAAAGCAGCAGTATGCAGCATATAACTCAAATTTGATAGAGTTTTGCTTTTATCATGCAATGAACCAAAAAAAGGTTTCTTACCGTCTCACAATCAGGAATTTTGTTAGGCTGTAGGCCAAACTGTAGTGTTTTGGGCTTTTTCCCAAATATCTCCCTACAGAACATTTCATAAATACCTGAAACATTTCAAAGTAATTGTTAAATGCACGTCTTTGTGACAGTTGTATTCTTCACGTTCTGTATCTGTGGTGAAAAACGTACATTTCCCGTTAAAAACCGCTATGAGTGGCTTGAATTTTCTTAGTTTTTCCACTAAGATTTTTCCACCTTCTCTAAGTTCCTTGCTGCAGAAGGGTGACAAGCAAAACAGGTTAGAAGAACGTCACCGCTTTCAGTCATGAATGAAAGCAGCGTGATTATATCCCGCACCTAGAGAGATCTTTGCTTCCTGGTGTTGCCCTCTCTACCATATTTGTGAAGCCGATGCCGTATTTCTCGGGCAAACTCAGATCATCCATGTGATTTAGCAGCTTGTCAGTGAATCCAGACAGGAACAGGCACTTCCCTTAAAGATTGACAAAATGAGAAATTTTGAACAATTTATTAAAAAATATATTAATATAATATAGAAAAAAATATTTTATTGATTATACAACTATTTACATGCTTTACATAACAATATTGCTGTATAATTATATTATAATCAATTAACCCTAACAATATAAAATACCTCTTTTTATATTTGTAAACAACCACTTTTTAAAAAAAATTTGATTATTAAATAATGAAAATAATCATATTTACATTGTTATATCATTAAAAATAATATAAATATAATAATTGTTCGAAGATCAGTTGAAGATGACTAGGAAGGGTTGACAAAATTGCAGATTTTGAACAGTTCCTTTTTAAAATATTAGTATAAGACAGCGAATTGGTATATTAAGGTTTATAATATTATTGATGTAAATTATTTCTGTTATATTAAAATATTTTATTTGTATTATTTTGTATTTGTATTATCTTATCTTACCTATTGATCTCTTTTTTATATATATTACGGTATTATAATAGTAATAATATATGAATATTTATATTAGCAATAATACAAATGAAATAATATAATAATCTAAAATGTTAAAAAGGAGTAGAATTAAAGCCGACTTACAAAAATGGTTTCCTGGTCCAGGGAACCATTTTCCAATGTAGGCCGCCATCAACCCTGGATTAATTCCGATCTGTATCATAAAAAATAAAATATTAATTTCAGTCATTTGGCTTCAATTCCATTTTGGTTTTAACATTCTTCATCATATTTTGGACAAAAAACATAAAAACTTACAATGACATAGTCCAGATTGGGGATAAGGATGTCAGGCAGTGTCCTCTTCATGACTTCCTCCTCCGACATGCCCTTGAAACGATCAACTTTCCTCTTGACTTTCTTGAAGGTTTCATCAATCTTCTCCTGTCCTTCAGCAGGCGGGGCCTCCTTATCCTCCTTAGCTTTCTTGGGTTTGGGTCCGGGTTTGGCTTTGGCTTTAGGTTCACCTTTGGCTTTGGGTTCTTTGCTCGCCGGCCTTCCTCGCTTTCCTTTAGCAGGTGCTTAAAGGGAAAAAAACCCAAACATTTGATTTACTTAATGCAACATGAGGGTTTGCATTCATTTTGCAGAGCTCATTTCTACTGTTTGAAAATACACGGCACTGGAAAACTACCTTTCTGTGCAGCAGCAGCCTGTTGGGCAGCATCCTCTGGGTGTACAGGCATCTGCTGCATGACCCCGTCCTCTCTGGGTCCCTCCATCATAAAGCCAGCATTGCCATTAGCCATGTGAGGATACTGAGCCTGAAGGGCCTGCAGATGCTGCTGAGCTGACTGAACCCTATTTCAAAAATAAAAATAGGGTCCGAAGTTGTCAGTCCAACTTATACAAAAAAAAAGGCCAATTCTACAAGTGCATATTTAAAGGTGCAGAGAGCGATTTCTGAGAAATGCTGTTAAAGGTTGTATCAGCGATTTCAGGCCCAAACATAAATGATCACATTCATCTAATCTTTCCTAACAATCCGCTAGCTGCCCGCCCCATAAGCAGGCCGTCAAAAAAACGCGTCTCTGTAGGCAGCCTAGCCTCTGAGATCTGCACACAAAAACAATTGGGTACACCAACCACTCAAAACCAAAATAAATAGTGTTCCAACCAATCACCGACAGGGGTTCGTTGATAGACGCTGGCTTCTTCTTCAGCTCCGCCTTCGCGTGCAGCCGTGCACGAGCGCAAAACCTCACAACACCCGCCCCCTGTCGGTGATTGGTTGGATTGGTTTTGAGTGGTTGGTGTACCCAATTGTTTTTGTGTGCAGATCTCAGAGCCTAGGCTGCCTACAGAGACGCGGTTTTTTGACGGCCTGCTTATGAGGCGGGCAGCTAGCGGATCGTTAGGAAAGATTAGATGAATGTGATCCTTTATGTTTGGGCCTGAAATCGCTGATACAACCTTTAAGAGTTGATCGGACCGAGCAGCACAACACACTTGTAACCAATCAATCAGTGTGTTTTTTTAACGATAAATGGCAAAATTTCTTATCTATACTGTTTCTAAAGAATAACACCCAACACTGTGAAAACAATGGTGTTTACAGGTAAAGTAAATTATATTTGGTATTATTTGCATAATTAATTCTTAACTCAACAAGTAAGAAACATGTAACAGTTAACAAAACGAAGATGAAAATACATTTGTAACCACTTAGATTGCAAACATTTGCATAAATATAACGACATCATATTATTATTAATCATGGATTGATTGTTTATTAATTATTAAACAAATATATTTATAATAACTTTTCAATTAGTTTTTTAATAAAATAAATGTAAAATAAACATTAAATATAGTTTCTTATCATTTCTAGTACAAAAAGAAACACTTATTTAACAATTACACAACACGAAAAGATCAAATTACATTTGCACCCACTTTGATTTCAAAGTTCAAACCTTTGCATACATTTTATATGGCACAATAATAATAATAATAGTAATTATTGATAATTATAAAAGTATAATATATTTTATAATAACTAAAAAAAAATGTTTTACTAAAAAGTTCCCAATTAAAATAACCATTACAAATAGTTTAATTACTTGATAGAAGTACTACTACGTTACAGTTATCACTTATCAGACACACACAAATAAGCAGCATCAGTCAAACAAAGAAAAGAAAATATCTCGAATGCAAATAGGAGCAATTTCTATAAAGTGATACTAGGTGTATAATTTGAGAAAAGCATAACATTAATGCAACCCGGATCTGCAAATAAACATGTTAATAATTGCAGAAGCAAACACAAGTGGAAACGCCAAGGCAGGTTTTCAATAATTGTTGTTATTGTTGACTCGTGCATTGCCGTTAGTAGCATTCAAAACCAGACTGAAGTGCTGAATGTTATTATATAACATAAAATCAGTGGGATCTTAATTAATCTTGGCGCCAATTGATGACAAATGGGGGACACTCACCATTGTTGGAGGTATTCCGAGGGGGCATGGGGCAAAGATCCATAGAGCCTTTCATCCATCTCTACGGGATTTACTTAAATAAATCAATATGTGTGTTCATATCAACAGCAATTTCAGTGGTACTCTCACAGGAGAATATTTATAACCTGCCCTTTTTATAGGCTCACGTATAGATTACTTTAATAATTAATATGTTCAATTATATATAAAACTCTAAAATGCATTCCTAAATGAATATCAAAACATATCCAGTCTAGGTTGGCTTAAGTGTATAAACCAGATCAGAAAAGGTTCGGTGTGCTGGATTTTAAACACTCCACGTAATCACCAGCACATCTCGCACCCCTATTTTGGCACAGCAGGCAGTAGTTTACTTTAAACTGCGATACATTGCGAACTTAAATTAATTTAGCGACCACATATTGTTCCAACAGGTAAACGGAAAAAGATACTTTGTTTTCGTTAAGAAAAACAATATATGTGATACTGTTAGCATGATCGGCTAGCGCTGGCCTAGTGTGCCAATTCATTGAGTACAATGAATGATGGTCGCTAGCTTACTGTGCAGCGCGTTTCTATCGATATAAATGGCCTTTCCATAGTGTTATTAGTCAAATTAAGCTCTTATTTGTTAAATTAATACATACCGTTATGATATGATTCGAACGATAGTCCACTGAAATGTTGATTTTTCTCGTTTTAGTAACAAAACCGGTGAAAGCAACAAAGACGAGACCAACAGCTAGAAATCAATTTGACAGTGGAGCGAACCAAAACATTAGGACTGGGGGTGTAATGGGCACATCATGTCTATTTCTTCCGTTTAATGTAAAAAGGAAAAGAAAGGAATCATAATTTAATATTAATTATATTTATTTTAAATGTAAAAACTGAAAACGTATTCCAGGCTTTTCTTTTTATTTACATTTTAGTATGGCAATGAAAAACTCTACCCCTCTAAAGTTAATAGTATGACCCCGGTCTCCTGTGACATTTAAACGCTTCAAAGCGAGCTTCCTATTGGCTGCGCTTAAATAAATAAGAAATTCTCTTTTCCCGTTTAGGAAATGTCAAATATATATATATATTTATATATATAAACAAGCAAAACTGGTATTGCTGTTAATAAACGAAAAACATTTTCCAAGACTCGTTTAGGATTGACTACACGAGCCAATGGTGCTTCGACCCCGATATATTTTTAATTGTGACAATAACTAATACACATTGCTTTTCATCATATTTGCTTTGCCTTTTGCTTTTATTTGCCCTAAAACAGTTCCATTAGTAATACATACATATAAAAAATAAAATACAACTTACAGAATAACATACATAGTACAGAATTCTCACAGCAACAATAAAGCTGGAATATTATGATGCAACAAAACAGGTATAATGATAATAAACAGTTATGCCCACTGACTGCAAAATAACAAAACAATTCTAAAAAGTCTAAAAATACCATTCAAAAATGAGGTAAATTGGGTGATCGGTATTCAATAAGCACCATAATGTGGGATTGAGCATGCCATATAAATCCATGCATTGAAGGCATGCACAGTGATAAACCTCTTCCAGAGGCCAGTCATGGTTTGCAATTTGCTACACTGAAATACTCCTATTGAAAAACATGTGCATGTCAAATATTAGGTCTTCTCAGAATAATCCTAATACCACAGAAATGTATAAATTTAGTAAATATGAAACTATATAAACAAACAGTCAACATACATTACCATTCAAAGGTTTGGGGTCAGTAAGATTTTTTGAAAGAAGTCTCTTCTGCTCACCAAGGCTGCATTTATATAATCAAAAATACAGTAAAAACTGTAATATTGTGAAGTATTACTACCATTATATATATATATATATATTAAAATGTAATTTATTCCTTTGATGGCAGGCTGAATTTGAAATCATTCAGAAATCATTCTAATATGCTGATTTGGTGGTCAAGAGACATATTTTATTATTATCAATGTAGAAAACAGTTTAACTGCTTAATATTTTTGTAGAAATCGTGACATTTGTCAGGATTCTTTGATGAATAGAATGTTTAAAATAATGTTTATTTGAAATTGAATTTTTTTGTAACATTATAAATGTCTTTACTGTCACTTATTTTTTTTTAAGTATTAATTTCTTTAAAAAAAAAATCTTACTGACCACAAACTTTTGGACAGTAGTGTATGATTAAAGTTTCCTTAAAAAAATAATAAAAAAATATAGTGGCACAAAATTAGTAAAATGTCTCAAACAGAAAGTCTCGCATTCATTCAGGCAACAAAGCTTTGTTGCGCACACACACACAGAAATCATATACATTAAATATTCCAGGTAACAACTTAGCATCATCACTCAGGAACATAGCCAAAACATATTGAAATATTAAATAAAAGAATAAAAAAAATGTTTAGTTGGTCCTTCTCAGTACATGCAGTGTAGACAAACAGTCTTTGTGCCATAACTACTTTTCTCAGGTTGTTCGGCTGTTGCTACATCTGATGTCTGGAATCTGGTCTGCAAACGGCTGCATTGTCCACCGGTTGTCCGTTACCTGGTCTAGAGAATGTTGACAATTATTACGAGCACCTGACACATAAAATTGTTCATATTCTTTCCGAACACAATATGTATGTGCCTGTATCTGTAGAAGGATGGGCTCCAAACGCTTGCTGTGGTTCCCCCCATGATCCATGCGCACAGGTCTTCTCGTACTCAGGGTCATGCTGCTCTTCTTTAATTGCCAATCTTTTGGCATCCTCTAGAATAAACAATAACAAAAGACTTTGGTTAACAACATGTTTTCTAACAGCACATTAATAGAAAACTATTTTAAAGTCACCTTGGATTATTGCAGCATTTATTATAAATGATTTATCTGTTGTGCAAATCATTACTTTTTTCATTCATGTAACCCTTGTAATCTTTATTCAAAATAACTTCCCCTTCCCTCTTCTCTTCTATGACGACATGTTTACTGGAGCGAGAGCGGGACAACCAGTCACTCACATGAGATCGACCAATAGCAAACCACAACCATCCAAACAATTCCAGATGGAAAAAAACAAGTCCCGCCCTACATTTTTTTCTTGCTCGAGAAGCCGTTTAACTCACAATAGGGAAGAAATACATCACAATAGGGAAGAAAAGAAAAAAACTATAGCAACTTCCGTTTCATGCCGACTTTAAATTGTGAAACTCTTCACCTTTGGCCAGAGTCACATCAAATGTGTAGTTTGTCTCTTGGATCTCCTGAGTCTTCCCCTCTCCCTTCAGCTGATCCCTGAGATCTTTTAGCTTGATGTAGAAATGCACTTTGTCCTGAGCACGAGGAAACTGGGCACAGCGTGGGCTAGACGATGGCATCAGATAGCAAACCTGGACAACAGAACCTCATTTCTAATCAATATGCAACTTTAAACAGGGAAATTCTAAGTACTATCAAGAAAGAAACTCGTACCGTCTCCGTTTCGGGCACTTTGTAGGGCTGCAATCCGAACTCTAAGTTCTTGGCCTTCACTCCAAATATCTCCTTGCAAAAGGTTTCATAAATACCTGAAATAAAGGATTCAATTACACAATGGCCTGGTTTCACAGACAGATTAAGCCAGGATTAGGCCTTAATTAAATTAGGACATTTGAGTTGCTTTTATAAACGTGCCTTAGCAAAAAAACATTACTGGTGTGCATCTTGAGACAAAACAATGGCACTGACATGTTTTAAGATATGTCAGTGTAAGTTGCTTTCAGTTAAAACCGCCCAAACATACATTTTAGTCTGAGACTAGTCTTGAACCTTGCCTGTGAAACCGGGGGTATAAATGAGAGTTTAGACTTAACTCAAAACCAAATCGAAGACTTACATTTCCCATTGAACACAGCGATTAAAGGTCTGTATTTCTGGAGTTTTTCCAAAAGCTGGTGGCCACCTTCACGGATCTCTTTGCTGCAAAACAATACTTTTTTCAAATGTACTCACATCAAGAATTTTCTAAGGACTTAACATCAAATTAGGGCAAAAACACATTTTAAGGTGCAGTCGTATTTGTGAAATGTCAGCAAAACTTTCAATAGTATATAAATGTATGAAGCTCAGCCAATGTCAATGCGGCTAATTCGTGCGGAAATCCTTCGCCCTTGTGAAATTTCCAATCGTGTGGATTCCAATTTAAATGACTGGATTTCGTCTGTGAAAATTCGCCGTACAACGGTAAATGTGACCGTACCTTTTTCCACAGATAATGCTAAACTCTTACTTTGATAGGTCTTTACTCCCAGGTGTGGTCCTCTCCACCATATTGGTGAAACCAATGCCATAGCGTTCAGGTAGTGTCTGATCGTGCATGTGGTTCAGCTGTTCTTCAGTCAGCCCGGAAAGAAACAAGCACTTCCCTATAAGACATTCAAATCAAAAATCAAGTATACATAAACAACCTTTAACATGAAATCAGCTAAATAATACATACAAAAATGGTTCCCAGGATTTGGATAATGCCTTCCCTTGAAGGCTGACAACAGTCCAGGATTGATGCCGATCTATAAAATTAGCCAAAAAATGTCATAGAATAAATAAATTTAAACCAGATTTATATATACATATATATATATATATATATATACACACACACACTCTTACTAGCCACTTCATTAGGTACACCCGTTCAACTGCTTGTTAATGAAAATATCTAATCAGCCAATAACAAGCAACTCAATGCATTTAAGCATGAAGACATGTTCAAGACAATCTGCTAAAGTATAAACTAAGCATCAGAATGGGGAGGAAAGATGATTTAAGTGACTTTGAACATGGCATGGTTGTTGGAGACAGACGGGCTGTTCTGAGTATTTCTGAAACTGCTGATCTACTGGGATTCTTGGGTTTATAGAGAATGCGCTGAAAAGGAGAAAATATCCAGCGAGCGGCAGTGCCGTTGGTGAAAATGCCTTGTTGATGCCTGAGGAGAGTGGCCAGACTGGTTTGAGCAGATAGAAAGGCAACAGTAACTCAAATAACCACTCGTTACAACCGAGGTGCAGAAGATCTTCTCTAAACACACAACATGTCAAACCTGATGGCTACAACAGCACCTAGTTGTTGGCTGATGGCTACAACAGCACCTGATGGCTACAACAGCACCACAGAGAATTACAGCAGTTCTGAAGGCAAAAGTGGGTCCAAACTGGTACTAGCAAAGTGCATCTAATAAACTGGCAAGTGTGTGTGTGTATATAAACAAGTTTAAATGATTAATGAAATTATAAAAATAAATTTATAGAATAAATAAATTAAAATACAGATCAAATTTGCAGTCTATATAAAACAATAACTCACAATCAGCAAGTCAAGATTGTGTGTGATGACGTCTGGCAGCTTTCTAGACATAACTTCCTCCACTGACATGCCGTTGAACCGATCTAACGTCCTCTTTGCTTTCTTGGCAGACTCCTCAGCTTCTGTCCTTTCCTTTCCTTCACCTTTTAGAGGCCTTCCCCTTTTCTTTCCTTTTGCTGTCAATGCCGGAGGGGCTGTAAAACAGATATTTGATAAGTTGTACAAATGGGCTGCAGAAATATCCAGTTAAAAGGGCTGTGAGGAAAAGGCTGTACCTGGTTGTTGGACAGAGGGTTGATGATGATGATTTTGAGGTTGATCCAGATATGAATCTTGATGAGGTTGATCCAGATATGGATCTTGATGAGGTTGGTCCAGATATGGATCTTGATGAGGTTGGTCCAGATATGGATCTTGGTGAGGCTGATGAGGTTGATCCAGATATGGATCTTGATGCACTGCTAAATCAGTCATGATTTTGTCTTCCATGGGTCTCTCGGCGTACTGTGTGGCATTAACCAGCTGGTGGTACTGTGGCACCTGCTCCGGCTGGTACTGCTGGGGACTGGTTTGATACCTGAGAAAACAAAATTACAAAGAAAGAAACGCTGCACTTACTTGATACGCTTAGGAATAATCTGACCTTTTCCTTGTCAGTGCTTTCACATTTAACATACACCATCATATCCCATTTTGAGAGCATTTGTCGAGATGTTAATATTAATCACATTATCACATTAAATCACTAGTTTATTTCAAAGATGCATGAACTCTTTTGGGTTCTTTTTGGGCTGGGCAAACTTACCAATACTGAAGATAATCCATAGGGGCCGTCAGAGATGAATACTGCCTTTCTTCCATCTTAATTGGTGGTCTTACTTTAATAGATTAATATTCATGTTTATGTTACTAATATGCCAGCTGGTAAACCACACCTCCCTTTGTTTGATCTTTTGTTACATCAGTCCCGTTTTATTAGACTTTGCTTATAAATTAAACGTCCCAAGATCAAATAAAATACACATTAACTAGAAATGTACATATTTTAAAGACTAATTAGCCTCATGTCATGGGCAACACTTTAGGATGCAGCTAACTAGCTCATTGCATTCAATAGGCTAAGAGCTGTGTGTGGACGCATACAAGCATAAAATAACTCGTTTCGTTACATACAGATATATTTCTGTGCGTTTGGGTTATGAATCTTACCTGCCATATATATTCTTCAGACCTTTTCTGGCACATATCAGTATTTAATGCAGAAAAATATGAGCTAAATTATGCTACACATGATGAATGAAGCCGGTGTAGGTAAAAATGTCAACAAAGGTAAAGGCTAGATTCAAAATAAAAGTCCCTGTTACTGATCCAATTACATATTTTTGGACCTAAAGCTTTACATTTTTATTTAGTTATTATAGACGACGATTTAAAATTTGACGTTTTAAAATATCAAGACAAAAAAAGACATTCGTGCTGAACTTACATCCACACTTTTATACAATAAAACATTAATTTTCTAATGGTTGGCTTCACACTGTTGGACTCTACCATTATTTACAAAGGGGAAGTGGTATTTTTCTATTCATACATTTCTATATAAAACGCATCTTCTGGCATACATGAAATTACTACAGGTCAAATAAGTGACGAATAAAGTATTTAATAATTTTAACAAATTTTCATCAATTGCTTAGGGAAAATAGGAAAAATATTTAATTTCAGTACACCCCATGATAAACGTGACTTACAATCCTGCCAAAGCGACCATGTGAGACAGACATGTAACAAGAACCTTTACTGCTGAATGTCGAATAACGAAAACATGTTATTTCGACTATAATTTAACAAGGTTAGTATTTCGTTCTCCAGATTTGATCCGGCTTAATGTAGGAAATATAATCCTGTTGTCATTCAATTACACATTCATTTGTTGCTTCGTTTAAGATAGCTAGCAGTGATTAAATGACCTTATAGCAAAAACCATGTAATTAAATTGACTGATAAAATACTTATACTCACTTGAAATGTTTGTGTACATTATTTATTTTTTGAGTTGCTTCGGAATAAGCGTTGATTGACATATGCAACTGTGTTGTAGACTAGCTGTAAGGTAAACCTAGGAAAATAATAATGGCTTATTGTTATAATGTTGATACAATTTTTTTTTTATCTAAACATGTTTTATTGTTATTATTATTTAAAATAGATATTACATTATTTAAAATACTAGTAATGGGTTAACATAACCCACATTTTTCGTTCCTATTTAAAATCTAACACTATTAGTGGTGCAATTATAACTTCTTTTTTCTTTCTTTAGGAATAAATTCTCTTAATTGGCATAACACTTGTCAGCCAGCTGAGATTTAAGGATGCCAGCAGGTGTATCTTGGCCAAGATATCTAAGGATGTTTGCAGCCAGTGTGTTCTCAATGTTTGCTGGAGCACAGGTTGTGCATCAGTATTACCGTCCTGATTTAGTAAGTTTCCAGATCCGGTTTTGGGCTTTTTAATTTGTTTAGGTGCTTGTACAACTTCGATGCTTGTCTGTAAATGTGATTTGCTATTTGCAACCAATTTTATTTCTGTAATTTTACATATTGCCTGTAGGGATTTTACTTGACTATTTTATTTTTTAGGAATTACATGCATCAATTCATGTTCTAATTAAGTCCAGCAATGTGAATTATAAAAATAAATTAGATTAATTTTAATTTCATGTTGACTGTAAACACTATGTACGGCATAAACAATTTTTTTTATTTTTTTTCCTTCCTAAATCATAGACCATTCCAGATGTCCCACCAAAGCCTGGAGAACTGCAAACAGAACTTCTTGGCTTGAAAGAAAGAGAGACAGACTCTGTGTCTGAGAAACAATGACCCATTGATTTGTTTTTCATAGCTGTTTATATAAAACATCAAATCTTTTTTTCAAAGCCTAAGTGAAATAATGCTAAAGTTATTTTATTCTGTGAATAAAGTTATTTATACGTGTACTGTCTCCATTTGTCATATAAAAGACTTTCTAACTCAAAAATATGTGTCTTTATCTGTACAGTTGTTTTTGTGTTATAGACTAATTGAGAGTTTCTGCAACCATTTCAGATCTTGATGCTTTTATTTGGAAAAACTGAATTAAATATCTGGAAATTAAACTGTCTTAGTAAAAATAAGACTTTTCTCTGAAAAAAATTATCAACTGTTTTCGTCCGAATAGTTTTTTTTTAACAGTAGATAGACTTTTATTATGGAAAGCAGCCTGTAGCCGTGCAAACGGAAGTATGCATGTGTATATTTGAGGATGTACAGTTGAACGCACTTGCCTGACACTATCTATCATTCAGAAGGCAGCTCTGGTGCGGGGGAAATATGCCGACCTTGTCCTTGCCTCTTTCAAACCTGCTCAGAAATAAAGAGAGTTTTAAGAGACTGATCACGCACTTTAAGTATCTGCACACTAGAAGCGGGACATGGTCGGTCAACAGCAGCACTCTATTGACCAGACGCTCCTGGGGACCGATATGTGCTCTCGTGTCCCGGAGGCAGGGTCCCCTGGGAAAACTGACAGCAGGGAACATGTGCACCAGCTCCAGTGACGACAAGACCAGCTGGCTCTGGTCTGTTTACAATGAAACCAAACAGCGAACGCAAGGTTAGTTAGTATGTTATAGAAATGCCTGTTTCCTCTTAAGATCCTGGTGATCTGTCAGAGGACAAGACGGCTGTTTGGATGTTGTATATGAGCAATGCATAAATACAAACTTTTTTAAATTCTGTCCCAGTGTCATTTCATGTTATATTTTACTGTATTATATTATAGATTGTTAAAGTTGAGTTATTTATTGCTGTGATATGTGTTGGTCTCTGTATGCCACGATTGGAGATGTTATATGACTATAATGCATGCATTTATGTGCTTGCAAACCACATTTATGAGTGTGTGTGTATGTATATATAGAGAGAGAAAGAGAGAGTTGTTTTATTTAAATGCTATTATAGTATTTAATTTATTATATTTTGAATGCACTTTTGTTCAACTTTGAATTGATTTTTGTTTTGTTTTTACATCAATTTAAAGATGTCTATAGATCTGAACCATTTTTCTCAACACTTAAAGAAATATATCCTTGAGAATCAGTTGTGTCAGCATCAGCACAATTAATGTATATATTATGGGTAGAGATTGTCTTTTGAATATGTTCTCTCATTTTGAACATCTGTTTGTTTTTATATGATTTTCGTTGACTAATATTATGTGTAGCCTATTTGTCATTATTTTTACTATTGATAGTGGTTTTGTAATGTAATGTTTTAAAAATTGTGTGCACCTGCCCGGGGACTGCGGATGAAAAATAGCTTCGGCTAACTCTGGCACAAAACATCTTTTCGCAAGATTAATGTATTTTGTGCATTGTCCCTGATAAATAAATAATAATAATAAAAAAATAAATAAAAAAAACCCACCCAAGATCATATTAGCATGCAAAGAATTTCTTTTCATAATGAATGTCTCACTACAGGTTAATCATTATTCATTTGAGTTCCTTTTGAATTTATTCTTTTTATTATATGTTAAGCAAGCATAATAAAACTGTGAACTTAAAGGGTCAATTATTTATTAACACACAATTATGTTGTTTTTTCCACAGATTTAATTCCTGTGATATCAAGTAACTTTGTCAACCCAGACACCATCTTTGCCAATAATCAGATGAGTCTGCAGGACATTGAGATCTATGGCTTTGACTATGACTACACACTAGCTTTCTACTCCAGTCACCTTCACACACTCATTTTCAACATCGCCCGAGACATCCTCATCGAAGAGCACAGGGTGACTGACCCAAGACTTTATACATTAAATTACATTAAATATATATAGGCCTATATACACAAACACATTCTGTTATGTTAAATAATGTAATTTGTAATAATTCTGAAATCTGTCAATATTTTCCATGTGGTGGTGATGCCAGTGGCACAGAAATTACACACTTAAAAGATTTTCAGTAGGTTTAACAAATGAATGCCTTTGGAAACAATATTTTGTCTTTTTCTGTCCACATAACAGTATCCAGAGGGATTGAGGGAATATGATTACATCCCTAATTTTGTGATTCGTGGTCTGCACTATGATGTCCAAAAGGTATGTGTTCAGTCCTGATCTGACAAGTTATGCATTGAAAACTCAAGAAAATTCTAATCTCATCCATATTCTAGGCCTTACTGATGAAGATTGATGCCTTTCATTATATCCAGCTGGGTACTGTGTACAGGTAGAGTGCAACAAACATATCTACTTTGCTAATTTTATATATTATTATTAATCTCAAGATATGTTTGCTCATTGTCATGTCAATGTCTCCATAGGGGTCTTAATCCTGTGCCAGAAAAGGAGGTCATTGCTATGTATGAGGGTTCCCACGTACCCCTCGAGATCATGAGTGACTTCTATGGCAAGGTCTGTGTGCTTACCGTCTTTTGCTTGTCAAGGGGTTTGTTTGATATCTTAAAGGTGCGGTCACGCTATTCTAGTAGACCCCAAAAACCAAATCAAGACTTTGAAAAAGGGCATAACAGTTCTCCTTTAACACAGCTCTTCTGATCTCTCGTGCAGAGCTCTCACGGTCACACCATGAAGCAGTTCATGGATATCTTCTCCCTGCCAGAAATGACTCTGTTGTCGTGTGTTAATGACTACTTCCTGAGGCACAACATCGACTACGAGCCTGTTCATCTTTATAAAGACGTCAAGGTATAGTTGTTCCTCAAAACATCAACAATAAAAAAAATCAAGATTTCCTTCGCCGATATCAGTTTCTAAGGAGACGAAGTGGTGTCATATTTACGATACCGCAGATGTCAGAAGGCTCAGAATCTTTTGACCACACATTTTGGATAAATATGGCTCCTGAAAGGGCTATTTAAGTTTGTAGAGAGCAGCATGGAATGGTCTAATTTTAGAGGAAGCATTTGGAAACACCATCTGTGCCACGTGCCTGAAGAGAAGCAGTGTTACAGATGGACGGATGTCTTTTAGTGGGTCTACAGATCAATTTAATCAATATGAGATGCACATCATTGCTTTTATGTTCAGTCCTCCTTCATTATGCATTAACAAGTCTCAGAGGATTTATGACTGTCCCCAGATACAATGAGCGAGAGCTTTCACAGGAGGTGTCTGGTAGTGCGTCAGGGCTTTGTGCTTTGCTTCAGTGCTGAATATTGATGTTACGTTGGCTTTGATATTCTGCATCTGGTGTGTTTCTCCATTCCCAGGAGGCCATTGGAGATGTCCATGTCAGAGGGATTATGTATCGAGCGGTAGAGGCTGATATCGGTAATTTAAGCAATATGTCTATTTGAGAGATCTGACCAAATCTGTCAAGCATCTTGTGACATATTCACATGAATTGTTTAATAATAATAATAATATATCCTTATAAATATGATTGATAAATATGTAATGTAATATACATACATATATAAAAATGTGTGCTGTCAAATCGATTAATCTTGATTAAGCACATCTAACTTAAAAGTGTGTAAATATATATGTGTGTGTGTGTGTGTGTATTACACTGAACAAAATGAAAAAATTTTCGGGACCCCCCGAAAAGAAAAAGGTTGTTGATTGTGGCCTGTGGAATGTTGGTCCAATAAAAAAACTTTTATTATTATGGTAGTATTTAATATGATGGACATATATGTACCCACTACTCCCCTGTTTTGTAATCATCAGTGCAAATGATACCATTTAGATGTTCTTGTTATTCTTGTTTGTTCTTTTCTGCAGAAAAGTACATCTGTTACGGTGAACAGACACATGCTGTTTTACAGAAGCTGTCTAAGATTGGCAAGAAGATGTTTTTGATAACCAACAGCCCTTTTGATTTTGTGTGAGTGCAACCAAGCTACTAAATTGAAAATAAATTAAAAATAAACATCAATACGCATAAATAAATGGATCATATGAGAGACACCCTATTACAAAGAATTTATACAAAGCCATTGTGACTAACCGCTTGTAACAAACTGCTTTTTTCAAATAAAATGTCTTTTAATTTCCTTATTGTAGAGATCGAGGCATGAACTATATAGTTGGGAAAGACTGGCAGGACCTGTTTGATGTTGTCATAGTGCAGGCCGACAAGCCAGGCTTTTTCAACGACAGGAGGAAGTAAGTTCCAAAAATCCTAAGAAATCTCTGGCCAGGTCTGGCAGTGTTGCATCACTTCTAAATCAAAGTCATTCTGACATTTTTCCCCCGGTTTCTGAAGACCATTCAGACGAGTCACTGATAAAGGCGTGTTGTTATGGGACAGAATTCACCAACTTGAGAAAGGGCAGATCTATAAACAGGTAATCTTTCATGGCCCAGTGTTCAGCTGCCAGCTGTTTCTATTCAGTGATGATGGTGGAATCTGATCTGTTCACTTTGTCTGCTTCCAGGGAAACCTGTATGAGTTTTTGCGGCTTACAGGATGGAGGGGCTCAAAGGTTTTGTACTTTGGAGATCACATTTACAGTGACCTTGCCGTAAGAATCAGATTCTGTCCTTTTCAACATATACACAAACATATTATTGTGCTTTGATTTGATAATAAGCATAAAAACACAGATATTAGGTATAAAAAAAATTGAACTGCTGTTTTCATCACAATGCACTCAGAGGGTCGGTGGTAGTTCTGTCTTACTAATATTATTTGCAAGTCAGAATGCAAACATGTCTCAGCATGCCCTGTATAGATATCACAGACAATGACTTGGTCTTCTGAAAGTATTGTTTTTGATTTTGTAATGAGAATTATGTCATGATGTGGGTAGGACCTGACCCTGAAACACGGTTGGAGAACAGGAGCTATCATTCCTGAGTTGCGTAAGGAGATCAAAATCATGAATACTGAAGAATACGTCCACACCATGACCTGGCTGCAGGCCCTGACCGGGCTTCTGGAACAAATGCAGGTCAGACCACTTTTTTGCGCATTAAAGCAAACAAAAGGGGACGCTCTAAAACAGTGTTATTCAAATGGCGGGCTTGGTTCCACCCGGACCGTGGGACACAATTGCACCATTTTACCTATTCTACCGATTAAAGATTAAAATCAACGGAGCGGTTCACACCACAAGCACTGCTGACGCAGTTATTTTAAGTAGCAGAAACACGGTGTGCAGCAAAATAGATACTTTCGCTAAAACACTGCAGAAAACGAGAATGTAGCTAATACAATTATTTGTATCTGTCATACAGATGACTCTGACCGTTTAAAGGTGAAATATTATGCCCCTTTCCCCCAGAATGTGTCTGTGTGAAATTTCAGCTCAAAATCCCCCCCATATCATTTATTATAGCTTGTCAAATTTGCCCCCTTTGGGGTGTGAGCAAAAACACGCCGTTTTTGTGTGTGTCCCTTTAAATGCAAATGAGCTGCTGCTTCCCGCCTCCATTCAGAAGTCTGTTTCGTTCGATACAAAAATAAAACACCCGAATCTCACTCATCCAATTTTGATTTCTCATTTCATGAGCCCTTTAAGTGCATGTACATTTTAAGAACTGCTGAAGATTACATTTAACAATGTTATTACATTATTATTGTTTTTAAAAGTGAACTTTGTTTTAACATTAGATGAGTGCAAAGGTAATCTATAGCGTAAATAAGCATGCAAATGTCCAATATTGACCAAGTTAAACATTCTCTACGCCCAATGAAATTTCCACCGAGCTAGTTTTGCTCAAGCTGCATTTGTCTTTATGTGGCAGGTGCACCAGGACCCTGCGTCACAATCAGTGATCCAGCAGTGGATCAGTGAAAGAGAGGATATGAGGTAACTAATCTCAGATTAATCTTTAAATTTCTTTTTTACACTTCGACCAGTGTTATTTTAGTACCATTGAGAAACTATTATAGTTTTCATTCATATGTACAATTAGTTTGTATTCTTATATTATCTGGTTTTATTTTAAATTTAGTTTAGTTTTAATAATGTTGCTGTTTTTGTTATTTTTATTGTTATTAGTTTTTGTTTTTTAAAACATGTTTATATCGTTTTTCAAAAAAAAAATATTTTCAGTTTTAGCTATTTTAGTACATCAAGTTAAATGAAAATGAGAAATGTTGCTTTGGCAACTAGCTGAAATTAAAATAAGCTTATGTTTTATATTAATTATTAATTCATATTAATATTATATTTATGATTTTATTTCATTTCAATTAACTTTTTTTTTTTAAAGTTAAATTTTTTTTATTTATTTTTTATGGTTTTGATTTTAGTTTTAGTTAAATATAATAATACAGACACACATTTCGGTTCATTATAGAGGAATGTGGCGTTTAAAATCATTAATTACACAACATTATTTATCTTCTAACCAATGTATAGAAAATATTGATGGCATAGAGAAAATTATACACTGTAGAAGAACTTAGTTTCTTCAGGCATAATGACTTGTATTTTATTGTATTTGATTTCCTCAAATTGAGCTTGAAATGGCCAATTCTTAAAAATAACCAATTCTTCAAAATAATTTGTTGTTAACAGGTTACGGACCAAAGACATTTTCAACGGCAAGTTCGGGAGTCTTTTTCGCACGTACCACAACCCGACCTACTTCTCGCGCCGTCTCTCCCGCTTCGCCGACATCTACATGGCGTCCCTCAGCTGTCTGCTGAACTACGACCTCCAGCACACCTTCTACCCCCGACGCACACCCCTCCAGCACGAGTCTCCTATCTGGCCCGAGCAGACCAGCTTCCAGAGCCACAGGACAACCAGCGGGTCCCAGAGAGAGACTTAAGGACAGAGGCTTTAAAGTGTACGTACCACAGAACAGCCACGGTTAGATGTTACATCTCTTCCGTCAGATTCAGCATGTAGTTTTGTTTCGATAAACGTGAGTCGCTTCAAATAATATAATTCTAGTGTAGATCTGCGCTGTGGTACATGCAATCTGTCGATACCTTAATTTTATATGTAACCTTTCTTGTAAAATGGATGACAATGGAGTTTACATGGATAAGAGAGGACTTGAGGAACTTCGTGCTGTTTTAATGTGCCTCGGATAGATTTTATTTTTACATTTTGTAAGTCTTTCTTTCATCATTGGCCTTCATGAATCCATCCCCATTAAGCTTATTGAAAGATTAAGTGAGTGGATACTTGACTCAATCAAACACGTTTTCTTTTTTTTCTTTTTTTCAAAGTGAACATATTGAAGGGTTAAAGTTGATTCTGAGCTGCTGGTTTCAGATAGCTAATGAAGAACAAAAGGGAAACTCTCAGGAAGATAGACGGACACTATATTCATCTTGAAATTATCATAAAAATAACTTCAGTGTTTAATGTTTTAAAAGCCTTACATACTGTGTTTTTAGCAATATATGATGATAATATACAATGGGCTTCAAAAGTGTGAGACCACTAGTGAAAAAAATACACTACCACTCAAAACTGTGGGGTCAGTAAGAATACATTGATCAAAAGTGACAGACATTTATAATGTTACAAGAGATTTCTATCTCAAATAATTGAATACATTTTACTCCTCAATAATGACTGCTGAACATTCAGCTTTGCCTTCACAGGAATAAATAATTGTAAAAAATATATTAAAATAAAAAAGTGATTTTAATTGGTAATAATATTATTTTCTTATCAAATAAATGCAGTGAGAGACTTTTTCAAAACCATAAAAAAAATCTTGCCAACCTTTGAACGGTAGTGTATAATTTGATTTTATTACAAATTATATTAAGTATAACAATTAAGTTTAACTGAATTTTTATTATTTTTATTATATACTTTTCAGGTTTAAATTCAAATTTTCAATGAGGTTTCAGATTTTTGCTCACTCCTGTATGTTTTTGTCAAATGTTCACATTGTGTAACTGTTTAGAAATCAACATTTATAGCAGAATAAAATATCAATAGTTGCTGTACAATGAGAGTTCGCATGACTCTTAAAGTGAAGGAGTGTATTGTACTACTTTATTTTTTTTGACATGGTAAATATATTTTTGACTTTTAAAAATAAGTTCAGTATACTGAACTTGGTATTGTATGAATGTTTGCATTGTATTTTGAATACGCACACTAATTTTTTTTTGTCTGCTTAACTTTCTTTTTGATACTGAAGGAAGTCAGAACCTGCCATTTATTTGACATTATTCAAATGTGTTCATCTTTATTAGAAGTGTATTTTATTTGTGATATTTATTACAAATGGAAACAAATGAATCATTGTTTTGTCTTTTTTTTATTGTTTTATGCTTTTGGTAGTACAATGCAAAGTATACTGTCTATATATAATTATCTTAAAACAAAATCTCAGCAGGCATCTCCAATTTTATTTTCTAAGCCTGCTTTTATGAATAAGATTATTAATTAGCTGGCAAAGAGTAATTTGACAAATGGCCTTTTAACAATTGGATACAGTGACCAGATGCTTCAGATTACTTTTTGCTGGTATAAAGAAAAAAAATCATGAATTAGCTGTAGCCAATATCTGATCTCATTCTTTAAAGCCGATAATATGATGGTCTGACCGGCTCGGAACAAAACGCACTGCCGTCACACAGTCTCCAGAGCTCATTCTCAATCATGGAGAGCTTCACGACAACAGATTTGGCTATGACGGTACAACCTACTATTTTTCCACGCGTGGGCTACAGCATACTTTCATACCTCATGTTTATAAACACTCTACTTTCTGTGTTTAATAATGTGTTGGTAATTGCCGTAATGCTGAAGAACATGCATTTTCTCAATGCGATGAACGTCATCATTCTCAGCCTGGCTGTGTCAGATCTTATGATTGCCACCTGCGGCTCTGCGATCGTCACCATCACAAATTATGAAGGGTCTTTCTTTTTAGGGCATGCATTCTGTGTTTTTCAAGGATTTGCTGTGAACTACTTTGGTGAGTACTGATCAAAATGTTATTTTATTTGTTTTATGTTATATAATGTATCCCCAAATATGTTGATGCCCTTCTGAGTGTCAGAGGATTTTTTTCCCATGTAGAGGATATAATATTTTTCCATGTACAGTATATTCTGTATATGTTCATGTGTAAAGACCTAGTCATATAAAAGCCAATTATTCAATGTTATATTTAAAATATATAATAAGAATAATATAAATATCCAATATTTTTTGCATTAAACATTTAATATTAATGTTATAAGAATTTATATTATTTACACATTTTGAATGGGTCTTTACACATGAAAATATAATCAAATGTTTGAGGAAAATAAAAAGTATTTAAAATATTTAATAATAATTCAAATGTTTTTTTTAATAATTACAAATATTAAATATTATATGAATATTAAATGTTTAAAACTAAAATATTACATACTTATAATATTAATGATATATTTTAAATATAACATTGAATAATTGCCTTTTATAGCAAAGCTATTTCATGTGTAAAAACCCATTTAAAATTTGTAAATAATATTGATATTAAATATTTATACATATTAAATATTACATATGTATTAATATGACGCATTTTAAATATACAATTGAATAATTGGCTTTTGTTTTAAGGCTATTATATTTTCATATGTTAAAGACCCATTTAAAATGTATTAGAAAAATATTAAGTATTTCAATTTTTATTATAAATATTTTTTAAATGTCATTTATAAATATAATTTTTTTTTATAATGTTACATGCTTACACTAAAAAAAAGTTAATGTGTAAAGATATATAATATAATGTAAACAGTATTTAGATACATTTATTAAAAATAAAATGTAATTATAAAAAAAATCTTTTTTTAAAAGACAAATATTATATTTATTTATAATAATTGGCTACTATTTTTATATTATCTGTACTAAATCCAATGAATGATTATAACCGTATCTGTAAAATATAATAAAATAGTGATTCATCTCATGACTTCAGACCAGTTTTGAGTAAGCTGAAAAAGCATGAAAGAAACTGTTGTATATAACTACTGCATAAAAAAGTCTAATAAAATGTATGTTAATGTCTTATTTTCTAGGCCTGGTCTCATTATGCACTCTCACACTACTGGCATACGAGCGGTACAATATAGTCTGCAAACCCATGGCAGGCTTCAAGCTGAACGTCTGCAGGAGCTGCCAGGGCCTGGTGTTGGTCTGGCTCTATTGCCTCTTCTGGGCCGTCGCTCCACTGCTGGGCTGGAGCTCGTACGGGCCCGAGGGCGTCCAGACGTCCTGCTCATTGGGCTGGGAGGAGAGATCCTGGACAAACTACAGTTACCTCATCGCCTACACGCTTATGTGCTTCATATTACCCACTGCTGTCATTATATACTGCTACAGCAACGTCCTCGTGTCCATAAGGAAGGTATGCGACTCGCTCTTGGTTCATAGTCAATGATTCACTCATAAAAACTTCACTTGTGTAAAAAATAAACAAATAAACAAAAGATCAATAAGTTATGACAACATATGTTTTTACATAGCTTTAACTCGTCAAAGTTAAGCAATTTTCAACTTTTTTGTTATATTTGTTATACAATTTTTTTAAAGTCATTTTGATGTCATTTAAAGGGATAGTTCAGCGAAGCGATGAGTTTGTGTAAGAAAAATATTCATATTTAAAACTTTATAAAGTAAAAAAAGCTTCCGGCCAAACGAACATATGGATTCGACTTAAGTCTAAGCGCAACTTATGCGAGTAATGCGACGTACTGCTGATATTTACGCCATGATGCACTACGTACTTCCGACGTCATAAGTTGCGTAAGTTGCTCTTTGGGTGTAAGTAGACTTTTACTTTGTAACGTGTTAAATATTAATATTTTTCATACACAAACTCATCACTTCACTTCAGAAGGCCTTTATTAGCCCCCCGGAGCCGTGTGAGCACTTTTATCATGGATAGATGCACTTTTATGGACTTCAAAACCGAAACAGCAATTCACTGCCATTATAAAGCTTGGAAGAGCCAGGACATTTTTTAATATAACTCCGATTGTATGTGTCTGAAAGAAGAAAGTCATACACCTAGGATGACTTGAGGGTGAGTGAATCATGGGCTAATTAAAATTTGTGGGTAAACTATCCCTTTAAGTTGAAATTACTCAAACATCCAAGTTGATTGTACTTAAAAATTCAAGGCAGGAACTTTTTTTTTTTTTTTTTACAGTGATTAATCTCTTGAATGAATAATCTTTTTTTTTTTCACCACATACTGATGTAACTATGTAATTGATATACAGTCTTTATTTGAAGTGTCAAGCTACTTTCAAAAGGTGATTTACTCTATTTTGATCGCTACCATAGACATCCGTGTTTATATCCGAACTATGATCTTTTATCCTAGTACTTCTCATATCACTGCAAATGACATTCCATTCCAGATCAACAAAAGCATTGAACTTCAAGGAGGAAAAAACTGCCTGGAGGACAATGAGCATGCGGTACGGATGGTCCTGGCCATGATCGTCGCCTTCTTCATCTGCTGGGTGCCTTACACCGCCATATCTGTGGTTGTGGTTGTGAATCCAGAGATCTACATCCCACCTCTGGTCGCCACCATGCCAATGTACTTCGCCAAAACCAGCCCGGTCTACAATCCCATCATCTACTTCCTTACCAACAAACGGGTCTGTTTCATGTGCCTGCATATTCTTCGACAGAATGCATTGGTATTTATATTGGTATTTGCCAGCAGCCATATCACCCTGTAGCCCAAGACTGGTTGCCCACTAAAGCTAAGCAGGGCTGAGCCTGGTTAGTACCTGGATGGGAGACCTTCTGAGAAAACCAGGTTGCTGCTGGAAGAGGTGTTAGTGTTAGTGAGGCCAGCAGGGGGCGCTCACCCTGTGGTCTGTGTGGGTCCTAACGCCCCAGTATGGTAATGGGGACACTATACTGTCAATTGAGCACTGTCCTTCGGATGAGACGTTAAACCGAGGTCCTGACTCTCTGTGGTCACAAAAAATCCCAGGATGTCTTTCGAAAGAGTAGGGGCGTAACCCCGACATCCTGGCCAAATTTGCCCAGTGGCCTCTGTCTATCATGGCCTCCTAATCATCCCCATGTATATATATACCAATTGGCTTCATCACTCTGTCTCCTCTCCACCAGTAAGCTGGTGTGTGGTGGGCGTTCTGGCGCAATATGGCTGCCGTCGCATCATCCAGGTGGATGCTGCACATTGGTGGTGGTTGAGGAGATTCCCCCTTCTATGTGAAGCGCTTTGAGTGTCCAGAAAAGCGCTATATAAATGTGATGAATTATTATATTATTATTATTATTATATACAGGGAACACTGTGCAACGAAACGCTCCAGTCATTCTCTGAAATATGTTTGTTCAGTTCCGAGAGTCCTCTCTGGAAATCCTGTCCTGTGGTCGATACATCCCCCGTGACACTGCTGGTGTAATGATGAGCCAAAGCAGGGTTATTCCAGCCTGATCTGAGGTCTGTCAATGTGAATCATTGTGTATTACTGTTTAAAAAGGCATATACTATATAAGTTTGTGGTCAAAAATAATTTTTAAAGAAGGATAAAAAATAAATATTCAATAATAATAAAAATCCAAGTTGATTGTACTTAAAAATTTAAGGCAGCAACTTTTTATTTTATTTTATATTTACATATGCCAAGATGATATTAAAATGCAGAGCAGTAACCTGATAAGGTTAAAAGCGAGCATCTTAATCTCGTAATTAGAGAATAAAACCTTTCCCAAATTAATCCCCTCAAAATAAGATTACTGATGTGATCACTATGACAATAAGAGCATAAACTACAGCCTTAATCAAACCAGTGCTTATTATGACTAGGCTATTCTATTAAAAATAACGACTCACTTCTTTCAAATAAAAAATTTATTTAACCCAGTTCAAAAATGTAGACCTTGCCAAGAAATCAACAAATGAATAAAACCTTAGTGGCAGAAATAAAGTGGAAAATAATTCAAATCAGGCTTGTGCAGTAATTGGCATTGTTCCGGTCTGGAGATGACATCTAGGAACCAGCAAATTGCCTAAAACAAAAAAGCATCCCTGGTGACCATCAACCCTGCAGGGTGTTAATTGAAAAACGCAAACAAATTGAGAACCATGGTAATGATGAGTGTTAAAGTAAAGGGCTTTATTAGCTACTGCAGACTCTCAAAAAGCAAGAGAAAAGAGATGGAGTAAAACTAGGTGCAACTTTATTCATAGTAGAAATCGACATGTGATTGAAAAAGACATGTAATTAGCCGTTATTTGACTGGAGATGAGAAGTAATTCCACCGTTGTTTGGGGACCAGTGAACAACACATGGCAAGACACTATAGAAGTTGCATTTGTGGCTGCCAATTGTCTAGTTTTGCTGGTGACTTTACACGTAGGACTTCTCGCCAACTTGTTCGTGGCGTGGGCCGTGCACCACCAGAAGTCTCTCCAGACGTCGAACAACGCGCTCCTGGTGAATCTGGCCGTCATTGACATCCTGCGATGCGCCATCGACTGCCCGTTGCTCCTCAGCATTGTTTTGAGCGCTCGCGACGCGGCGCGAGACCTCGGACTGGTTTTCTGCAGCGCGCAGATCGCGTCGTTTTCTCTCATCTGTTGCGTCCAGTTGCTCACGCTGGCGTGCATCAGCGCCGAGCGATATCAAGCCATTGCGCATCCGTTTAAAAGCGCCGAGAGCAGAAAACGGGTAACAGTGTGGATTCTCTTGACCTGGCTGGCTCCAATCTCCATATCGGTCATTTGCGTGATATTTGCGAAAGACTCGCCGGTGTACATAAGATGCAGAGGCTTGCGGATGGAGACTTTCGACTCTTACGACACTTTTGGACTTTATATTTTGACTCCCGTCTGGTGCGTTTGTTTGACGGTCATCGTTGGATTCTACGGCCGCATTTTCCTGTTGGTAAGAGCGCACGGTCGGAAAATATTCGATAAGGGTTCACTTCCACCACCTGGTAAAATTAAAGAGGATAAAAAGCAAAAACAGGAGGAAACAAAGAATAGTATTAAACATGAGACAGAAAATACACAGACAATGGATACTGGTCATTTAAAACCCAATGAAAAAGAGCCGTCTGGAGAAAATATCCAACAATATTTACATCCAACATCTGAGGAACTTCCCACAACAACTGTGACTGACTATTTAGATATAAATGAACCAGAGATCGTGACTGAAAAATCCATGAATGAACTTCCCAATGAAACACCACAGGTTCTAGAAGGTATTGTGGAACCACCACAGGTTCTAGAAGGTATTGTGGAACCAAACGACCACCAAGATACTTCTCCATCGGCCAATGAAGAAGTTGGTGCTGTAGAGTCAAGCAAAGTTACTGATGGAGAAGTTTCTGGAGGATCAACTAATGGAGAAGAGGGTGATGATGAAGACCCAATTGACCATCGAGATAAAACTTCAGAAACTTCTCCATCAACTAATGAAGATGGTACTGTTGAGACAAGCGCTCCACAAGATATTACTGAAACTTCTCCAGCATCAGGAAATGGAGAAGGTGCTGAAGAGCAAAGCGCTCCTCAAGAAACCACTGCAGCATCAACTGGAGAAACCACAGCTGCTCCACAGGAGGAGGAGGAGGAGGCGGTGGGTGCTGTCTGTATGATGCCGTGTCTCGCTCAGAGAGAAAGAGGAAACGCCAAGAAGGAGAGCAAACTGGCCAAGCGCTCCGGATACATCATCTTCACCTTCCTCATATTTTGGATCCCGCTAATTGCGACAGTGGTCTTGAATCACTTCTATTACCGTGATGGCAATCTAACAGTGAGTTGAGTTGCGGGATAATATAATTTGTCTCACAATTTAAATGACAGCACACTTACATGAGAAAACTGCGTTAACCTAATTCTTGAAGGAGGCATTTATGTCTAGCTCAACTCTTTTCATTCATACTGCAAAAAAGAAATATCAATATTAAAGTTTCAAGATTTTGCATTAAAATGTAAACCTGCACTGTAAAAAAAATTATATGATCAATACGTTATGACAAATGTTTTTACATGGCTTTAACTCATCAAAATAAGCTAAGCAATTTTCAACTTCTTTAAGTTATACAAGATTCAACTCATCATGTAATTTAAGTTGAAATGCCTTAAACATCCAAGTTGATTGTACTTTAAAAAATTAAAGCAGTAACTTTTTTTTTACAGTGAGCTACTTAAATTGTGCTTTAAATACAAATAAATAGTAGATTAAAAAAAGTAATAATACTAAACAAAATAGCAGTAAGGCAATGAGTATAAATGTACAGATAAGTCGTTTTTCTTCTTTTAAGTGTAAACCCTTTATAGATTTTGTTTATGCTTATATCTTCCATAATTATTATTTATTTATTTTTTGTTATGAGTGTTCAGATGTTTGTTCTAGAAAATAATACTGATTTTATTTAGTTATTTAGAAGTGCATTGACCATACTGCCAAGTTGAATGAATGGGTATATCATCCAGTAGCTATAACACAGTTATTAATGTGTTTCAGGTGGATGTTTTTCGGGAGCTGGATATTTTAACAGTGTCTTTGGTCTGCATGACATCCCTCACTAACCCCATCATCTACGCAGCGGTCAATCCTCAGTTCCGCACAGAATTTCATAATCTGAAGACGAAATGGAAAGCATTTTTTACACATTCATAGAGTTTTATACTCTTTTGACTTTTACTTGTGGGGTCATCAGAGCTTTCAAATATCCGTGATTGCTACTCACAAATAAAATCCAGCATTTATAATGTATAATCTTGTAAATCAATTGTTCCCCCAGAAAAAGCCAAACACTGATTTTGTTTATTTTAATGGTTTTTTAAATTTATTTAGTCAACCTCTTCAAGGCAACATTATGCGACAGATTGTTCCACACACTCCAGAGATTTATCCTAAACTTCATATATTTTTTAAAGATAGAAAATACTCAAGACAAGTTGTTAAAATAGTTATATCACAAATATACTTTTTAGACTTCTGTTTAAAAAGACATATTATAGACAGTAAGAACAACAGATCAGTGCAACAAATCAAATTGTTACCTCAAATAGGTCACTTTGCAAATATTTTAAACAACGGCATCTATACTATGACTTCATCTGTATGATTTCAAATACATGGTTAAGTAACTGATGGTTCATCATTAGGGCCTGTACAAACACCCAGCACCACACTAACTAAAACTGAATTCTTTTTTTTGCAAAATACCAAATATGTTTCATAATAAAATAGTTTTAACTATTATTTATGTACACTCCAAAATAATTTATTGTGCGCCACATTTTTATTAAAATAATAAATCCTATTATCACAAGTATTCTTCTGTACTTCTGCAAGTAAAGTGCTAAATCAGATCAGATTCTTGTTGAACAGAACAGAAAAGAATTGTTACTGATGTACCAAAGAATAAAATGTTATGAATAGTAATAGTCTAAAACACACAGTAAAGCTAAAATTAATATGAAACCATAAACAGTGTTTCATAGTGTAAATTTCATAACCAATGCATTGTGCTGAAATGTCTTTGCCTCTCAACAACCAGCAGGAGATGGAGCAAAAAAATACATTGCCAACAGGATGAGATACACCACCACAAGAGCAGTACCTGGAATACAAACACACACAAAAGAGAGTTTTAACAATTAACAAAACTCATTCAAATCAATATGATGAACAAAGAAAGAACAGTGAAGGAGATTCTGGTACTAATTATTAAAACAAAAAAATTAGTGTACATAATCACAAATAGCTTTATGTAATGTTTTTTTTTTTTTTAGTTGATTTTTTTTTATTTTATTTTTTATAAAATAAATAAAAATGATACATTAATATTTTTGTGGAAACTGTAATGTATTTTTTTCCAGGATTCTTTGAATATAAAGTAAAAAAAACAGCATTTATTAAAAGACTTTTTTTGTAACATTATAAAAGTGTTTCCTGTCACTTTTGATCAATTTACTGCATCCTTGCTAAATCAAAGTATTCATTTCTTTCAAAAAAGAAAAATCTTACTGATGCCAACATTTTTAACGATGGTGTAGTTTTTGAACTTTTTGTAATGAAGAGCCAGTACTGGATGTCTTAATTCTCGATAAGTTTCCTAACCCCAGATTTACAGAATATTTAGCTTATTACCTTGAAAGTAATCCGACTTTCCGTCCATAAAACTATAATTCACAACGATGACACTAAAGATGCTGGCCCACAGATGCAGGTCGCTGAAGATGAGTACAAAGCCAACGTCCTGTCACAGAAAGATCATTAGGAAAACACATTGACATATAGCCATCAGTGAGCTAACTTTGAGTGTATGTACAATAGCATGTGTGCATAATATCTCACATAAAAGACGTTGAATAAAACCAGGATGGGGATCTGAATCATGCACACCTGCACCGCGATGCAGCTTCCAACCTCGAAACTGGGAGAAAACAACAAAATGCATGTATTTTTAGTTGACAAGACCAGATTAAACCAACCAGGCAGGGATTGAATGAATGATTCCATTGTTTTTTCATGACCTAAGGCATGTTAACAAATATAGAACTCACAGGATGGTGTTACCGAACAAACTGACCTCAAACTGATTTGATTCTGAAGAGCAAACTGGACTCCATTGACAATTTCTGGGATTTCAGGGATCATGGCCAAAAGAGTCACACCTATGAAATACTGAGATGAAGAGCTGGGATCATAATACATTAATATTGAGCTGTTATTTACTGTCTGACTGATTTACTGCAGTATTAACCTGAGATACAGACGAGCGGTTGAGTATGGGCTGAATGTGTTCGGTGGTCAGATCGGCACATGCTGACATCAGCACTGTGGCAATGATGAGGATAAGCAAAGCTCTCCAACGGGACCAGTGCACAGACGCTCCAAGATGACCTGCTGTGAACACACACATTGTGTTTCATATCATTCTGCAGACCTCCAATGATCCTAAATTAAACTTCTAATAATCACTACACCCTAACCCTAATACATGTGGGAAAATACATTATTTAGCTTCCTTATGAAGTTGTGGTGGTCGGTTCAAAGCTTCGTATTAGTCATTTTATTGCAAGGTTTAGCAAACTCACCCGTTCCGTCACCAACGTGAATGTCGTAGATGTGTGAATGTGTTTTAAGCGTAAAGATGAGGCCGATGATATAGGATATGGGCAGTAGGACGGAAATGGTGTACACTAGAGGCCTGAGAAAACAGAGACGCGTCAACAGCCACAACAAAACGATATTAACAGTACTAAAAATATGAATGATTAATCCTTTTTTAAATTATAATTATTATTTATATAGTTATATATATATACACAAAGTACTGAGTATACAAAATGCTCACACTATGAACTTACTCAATGTGACTGTGAAACAAGCTGTAGTTGTTTTCAGTCTAGTGGACCAGAAAGAAAAAATGCGCAGAAAATGGCTTGATGTTTCACTTTCCGGTGTCATGTTTTTTCATTTCTACGTGATGCATGTTTGAAATCTCACCAGGTCGTAGTGGCAGTTTTTGCACATGAAGGATCCGCTGCTGTTGGTTCCTGTAGAGTTGGTACAGTCCTCACACACTAGATTCCCATAGGCTTTGGAGAAGAGCGTAGGGGCAAACACTCCTACAGAGACGATGGAGCTACAATAGTCTCAAAATGTATTGATTTATGAAATATGATTCATTGCTATAATTAAAACTAATTCACATTCACAAAACAGCAAACAGCATTTCACAAACTTAAACTTTCACAAAATACAATTTGGTTGTGCATTTGCAAATCATATTTTGTGAATATGAATAAGGTTATGAGTTTGTGAATTGCTATTGGCTAATATATAAACCTTTTTTTGTGAATGAGCTTACGCATTAAATGCTATTTCACATTGCCTTTAATTACTCCAAGAGAGAAGAGCAATAACAAGCAGATTTCTGCCGCCTCATCTTACCCCCTATTGATATGAAGAGTAGAGAGGAGCTGACCCCTGCTGAGCGACTGTTAAACCTCTGCTCCCTGTGCCTGAGTCCTCCGATTATCATACAGATCCCCTGAGACAGACAGATATAATGGTCATCTACTGCACACTTTGCAGATTTAAGATCCTCTGTAAGGTAACGTATGGAAAACTGTTTTTCCGCCACAGAATAAAAAAAAATAAAAAGGGTATTTGTGACTTTGTGAAGTTTATGTCACATTTCTGACTTTTTTTCCTCTCAATTCAGAGTTTATATCTTATAAATTTATATCAATTGTGAGATATAAAATCGCAACTGTGTTATAAAGACAGAATTGTGAGATATAAACTCGCAATTGTGAGAAAAAAGTCAGAATTGAGGGATAAAATTACCTTTTTTAATATTAATTTAATCTTACAATTCTGACTTTTTTTCTCACAATTCTAAGTTTAAAAAGAATCGCTACTTTTTCAAAAAAGAATCGCTACTTTTTTCAAAAAGAATAATGTAACAAAATAATTATGTAACAAATGTATAATAATAATAATGTAACAAATGTATAATAACACTGTAATAAATATATATATATCACAATTCTGAGTGAAAAAAGTCTTAATTGCGAAATAAAAGACTCAATACATTTTTTTTAACACCGAGTTTAAATCTCACAATTCTTACTTTTTACCCAATTCTGGTTTATATCTCACAATTCCTACTTTTTTCCCAATTCGGAGTTTATATCTCACAATTCATACTTTTTTCTCGCAATTCCAAGTTTGTCACAGTTCTTTTTTTCTCCTCGGAATTCCGAATTTATATCTCACAATTCTTACTTTCCCCCCCAATTCTGAGTTTATATCTCACAATTCATACTTTTTTCTTGCAATTCCGAGTTTATATCTCACAATTCTTACTTTTTTTCTTGCAATTCTAAATTTAAAAAGTAAAAAGTAGTAATTCCCTTGACTTTTTTAAAATTACCTTTATTCATCCTAATTATATGAACAAAAAAGTCAGAATTTAAAGATATAAACTCAGAATTGAAAGTCTGAGTTGTGGGATATAAACTCGCAATTCTGAGAAAAACAGTAAGAATTCTGAGAAAAAAAGTATGAATTATGAGATTACCTCTTTAATTTTTTTATTCCATAGTGGAATCAAGCTTCCATAGTAACGGATGACATACTGGTATGAAGAGGATGCAGCCCAGCAGGGTTCCAGTAAGAGCCGCCTTCACTATCTCCTGCAGGCACTTATTTCCCTGGTGGTGACCTCTGAGCAATGCTGTGATGTAAAAGGTCAACTCTGTGATGGAACCGAATGTTGCGTTCACCACGGCCCCGACAGCAAAGTTACTCTGAGCGGAAATACTGAGAATAGAGATCAGAAATTAAATACGGCATTAATGTTGATCTCAAAGGTATTGGTGAAGTTCTGGTGTTGTGCTGGAGTAACTGCTCACCTTGCAATGCCCATGCCAATATAATACGACAGTGGAATGATGGAGCTGATTGCTGTGGCAAACTTGACTTCTGAGCTGGCAAACTGGTTTGTTTTGTCCACGTAACCAATTATTAGTGACACTATAACTAATGGTAAGAGATCTAAAGTAACTCAATGTAAGGAAAATGGCAAAAAAAAACCAGTAAAGAGTGAATCTTTTTCCACAAACATATTAGGCAGCACTGTTTTTCAACATTGATAATAATAAGAAAGAAGAAATAACACTGAAGACTGGAGTAATGATGCTGAAAATGCAATGAA